CAGATGAGCCCCAGAGACAGAGGTAGGCCTCACTCTCAGACCTGTCCACCAGGTGTCCTGGGGTCTCTGAGGCTGGGCAGAGAGCCTGGTCTGGGTGCTGAAGTCCTGTGTGCTAGCCTCCTCCTTGGCCATAGACAAGTCATCTCCATCTGGGCCAGCCATTAAAGGGATGATTAGTCTGGAGAGAGAATGGAGCTGGCACTTTGGGGTCAGGCAGACCTGGGCTCAAGAGTTGCTCTCTTGGGGCCCTTGAGCAAATGGCTTTCTCTCCTGAGGCCCCAATCTGCTGTTGAAAGGACAGAAATAAGACCAACACAGTAGGACTGTACTGAGCCTTAATTAAGAAACTGGGGCTGGGGCTGCGGCTCAGTGGTAGAGGGCTTGCCTCACATGCATGAGGTCCTGCCCCCGCCCCACTCACTCACACAAAGAAATTGAATACGAAGTGTTGTGTGCATGTGGTCAGTAAATGTCAATTGTCATCATTGCCCAGCACCTTCCCTAGCTGGGTGCTAGAGATGCAGATGGAAGACAGAATGAAGAACACTGAAACACAACAGAAGGCATTTGTATTCCCATCTTGTATCAAAGGCAGGTGGAGTCTAGAGATGCAGTGGGTCGTCTAAGGTCACACAGAGGCACCTCCCTCAGGTAGACACAGGCTTGAGTATCTTCTCTAGGCATTGACTTAGCCCTACAAAGTTAGAGCAGGGACTCCCAATTAACTGGAGGAGTAGAGTGGTCCCTGATCTGTTTCTCAAGCATCATGCAGTTCCAGTCCTGTGTGCTGTCTTGCAAGGGGGCATGAACATGCACACTCAAGTGTAGACAGGTGCACATACACACTCATGCATGTATATGCACACAAACACTCATGTACATACAGGTACATTTATTCACACAAGGCATACATGCACTCTCATGAATGCTTATGCACACACATGCACACATACACACTCATGCATACCTGTGGGTGCACATACACACCATGCATATACTCATCCTCATGAGCCCTCACAAGTAAGACCATCTTCAATCTCTCAGTTGTTCTTCGGCCCCAGGGCCTTTGCACATGCTGCCCCTGCTGCTGTCAACACTCTTCATCTTGTCTCAATGTAGGTAATGCCTCCCAGGCAGCCTTTCCTGAGCCAGATCTCCTACCCTGCTTACCTCTGGCCCCATGCTGGTCTGTATCATACCACTCAGAACCCTGCTAAAGGAAAACTCTTTGTGGACAGAACGGCTTTCCTCTATCCTTGGGGCTTACTGCTTGAGCAAGCACTCGGGATGTTGAAGGAATGTTTGCTGAATACACAAGGAGATGATTTCTGGCTCTCCTTCCTCTCTGGAGATGGATGCTGGGACCCTGTGATGACACCCAATGATGGAGGCAGCAGAAACCTTCTTAGGTAGCAGGCATGCCCAAGTCCCATTAAGAATGAATGTTAGTGGATTGTGATTTTGCTCCAGGTTTGGAATAGTCATCTGCTGATAGTCCTGTCTGCTTTTGGCCATCCTGCCTATTGAGACTGAGTGAGTCGGTGAGAATTAATTACAAATTGGAATCTGGTTTACAGAGCAATTAATACTGAAGCTCCCCAGGGGATGCTGTGCATGCAGCTGTCTGTCTACCTTTGCTGTTCTTCCTTCTCTCTCTCCTTTTCTCCTGTTCTCTCTGTCTGTCTCTCTGTCTCTCTGTCTCTCTCTCTCTCTCTCCCCCCCCCCTTTTCGTCCCCACCCAGTGGCACTCCGAGTTCGGGCCTCACAGTGACAGGATCCTGAGCTTGGCTTTCCCTCCACTCACTCTCCTTTCCTGTTAAATAACTATTGTATAGTCCCTACTCGTATGAAACTCCACCCATATTGAAGGCAGTGCTCAGCTTCAGAAACAGCAGAAATAAATCATGTATGGCCCCTGTTCTAAACTTATGCCACAGAAAATACGACAGCTGTAGCATCCCTGGTCTGCAGGGGACACAAGCCCCCAGGGGATGCCTGAAAATGCACAGCATGGGTCCCATAGACCTGCTTGCTCCTGTTTGCACTCCTGCAACAAAGACTAGTGATAATGCAGGACATTTTAACCACGCCCTGCGAGAACAGATCCTCCTTCCTCTCCCTCCTCCCCCACTTTACTGTGACTCTGTGAGTTGATGCCTAAGCATCAACTGTGAGATGAGGGAGGCAATGACATGACCAAGGCTTCTGCTGACTGCTGACTTTAGCTGACAAGACTTTAGGAGACCAGTGGCCTGCTCAGAACTCCTCTTTGGCCTTAGTTTCTATTTTGCTATTCTTGCACTCTGGGGCTATGATACAGCAAAATGAGAGGCACTTGAGTACAATCACTGAGATGCCACAGCTGCAGGTCTGAAAACCAGGGTGGCCACTAAGTGAAAGGCAGGTGATATATTCAGGGGGGAGGGGTGGGCACACCAGCCTCAGTCCCAAGTAGGATGGGGCTACATTTCATCCTGTTGCTCAGAACAGCAGCAAAACCTTAGGAACTCACTCAGGGAGTGAGTCAGGAGTTCAAGGTCACCCTCAGCTACATAGTGAGTTCAATGTCAGCCTGGGGGTACATGAGACCCTATATTAAAAAAAAAAAAGACGCACACACAAAATACTTATGAACTGTTTCACCCTAGAACTTCCTATTTAATCTAGGCCTCAGTTGGCCATGGCTACCTGAAACCACAGATGTTGTGTGTGTGTGTGTGTGTGTGTGTGTGTGTGTGTGTGTGTGAAGTGGGGGGTGCTCTCCCTGATAACTGCATGTCCCAGTTTGCAGAGCAGCTCTGACCTTCAGCATGTACCTCACAGTATCCTCATGCTGGACTTGGCTGTACTCTTATCCTTGGTGGCCAGACAGGGAGGAAACTGAGACTCAGAGGTAAGAGCTTGCCCATGGTACTTCCACTCATCTTCAGGGTCCCAGCAGCATAGGTCCCCGAGGTGGTAGGTCAGGAAGGTGTTCAGGACACAGAGACCCTTGTCAGCTCCACACTTCTGGCTGCATGGTGGCGTCTATGCAGGTACTAGAGGGTGGCTCTCCCATCTTCATGGTGAGTTTTGCTGCCCCAACTCCTTTTTCCTCCCTCTTTCCTCCCTCCTTTGGCCTCTCCCCTTGCTGGCTCTTGATTTTCTTCCCCCCATTTTCCCATCTCCCCCACCCTGTTCCTTTTCTATCTGCTTCTATCTCCTCTACACCCTCCTGCCCTGTACCTCTTCACTGGGAGAAGGCCGGAGGGCTTCCTGGAGGAGGAGCTGGCCCTCCTCTCAGGTGCTTTCTGCTCTCAGCTCTATATAAAGAATATCAGTTCTTAGGCAGTGGGATGACCTGTCTCACCCAGCATTGAGTTTCCCACCAGGGAAGTGGTCAAGACAGGGTGATCAACCCTTCTGCTGTTGTCAGAGCAACTAGACTTTTCTAACCTGGGCTAGACCATGTGACTTAGATCTTGAAGTTTCTCTGTGTGCATTGCTCCACACTTCCCCATGTATTTAAAGCCATAGCCTCAGCACTCAGGAGGCAGAGGCAGGTGGATATCTGTGAGTTTGAGGCCAACCTGATCTACATAGAAGGTTCCAGGGCTGCAGAGAGACCCTATCTTTTCTGGACTGGAGAGGTAGTGCAGTATGTAAGAGCACTTGCTGCTCTTGTAGAGGATCCAGGTTCACTTCCCAGCACCCACGTCAGGGAGCACACAACTGCCTGCAGCTCCAGCTCCAAGGGATTCAACACCTTTCTCTGGCCCCTTGTGTACCCACATACATGTGACATGTATATAGAGAGAGAGAGAGAGAGAGAGAGAGAGAGAGAGAGATCTTTAAAAGTATTTCCCAGTGAGGAATATGTTCCCTCTTTTCCTTTCTTTTCTCTTTCCTTTTCTTCCTTTTGTGAAACAGGGTCTCACTGTGTAGCTGAGGCTGGCTTCAAGCTCAGTTCTCCTGCCTGGGTCTCCCCAGCTCTGGGATTACAAGTTCCCCACCATACCTACCTATGGGCTATGTCTTATTCTTTATCATTTTAGTGTTAATTACATTTAGTTTAATTCAGAAGTAAATTATTCATGATCAAGCTATTTAGTGAACTAGAAATAAGAAGGGAAAGCTTCCTGCTGAGTTCTCCCAGGTGGACAGAGCCCTAGTTTGTGTTTCTTTCCAGTTCTTCCTGTGTCGGGCTGCTGAAATGAGTGAGCTCTGCCCTGGAACCTTTCACAAAGCTGACTGGGGGTGAAGGCTGCCTGTGCCCTCATGACTTCTGTTTCCTACGACTTCAGTCTTAGTCTTTTTTCATTCTTAGTTCTGGTTAACTTATCATGGGCTGTGATTTTTTTTTTTTTTTGAGATAGGGTCTCATGTAGCTCAAACTCTATGTAGCCCAGAAAAAGCACAGCCTAGCTTCAAACGCTCTGTAGCCCAGAATAACCTGTTCTGATGAACTGTGACTTCTTATAATTTATTATTGTGTGTGTGTGTGTGTGTGTGTGTGTGTGTGTGTGTGTGTGAAGGAACACTGGTGCCATGGTACACATGTGGAAGTCAGAGAAAAACTTGTGGGAGTCAGTTTTCTTTTTTTTATCATGTAAGTCTCAAGATTTGAACTCAGGTCATCAGGCTTGGTAGCAAATGTCTTTTATGGCCCTGCTAAGACTTAAAAAAGCTTTTTAGTTAAAACCACATAGCACATGAGCCTCTTCCAAGGTGGAAATTTTCTTCCTTAGGGAAAAAAGTACCAATTGCTTTCTGGTCTTGTAAAAGGATGCCCACCAAGTTACTGTGGTGAGACCCGGCTCCATGTGAGCAAAAGAGACAGCAGCCCAGCGGGTGTGAGCTGGTTTTCCTGCTCCACAGGGGACAGTGTGAGGCCCATGAGGCTAACCTCACCTCCCAAAGCCACCTCTGTGCAGGCCAGATCTTGGAGTCACGGGGCCCTGTCTAGGAGGACCTGGACTGAATCCTGTCAGCCCATGTGTAACAGGACTCTGGGGTTTCAGGATTTCCATGGAGCTGTCCTGAGGGCCCTGGAGGACATGGACCAAGAAAGCAGAGACCTGCTGGCCCAGGAGGAGCTGCGGCAGGGCCTGCGTGAGCTACCAGCCATCCTTGACCTTCACCAGGGCATTCTGGATGACCTGGAACAGAGACTAGGGGACTGGTAAGCAGCCCAGGGTTCTGCACCCCATTTCTGCCACCTGAGGGTGGGAAGGTAGACAAAAATATGGATACAAAATGGTGTCTCCCCCCTCCTCACAATGTGCTGATCCCAAGGCTGAGTTCTCACTGTCTGTCCCCTCCCTGGCAGTGGGGAGGGCCAGCAGCAAGTGGCCGACATCTTCCTGGCTCGTGAGCAGGAGTTCGAGCATCATACTGTGCATATCCTGCAGTTTGACAGGTACCTGGGGCTGCTCGCTGAGAGCTGCCTGCTGTCACCCAGACTGGCCGCTGCCATCCGGGAATTTGAGGTGGGTCCCCAGGTCCTAAGTGATTCTTCTGGGAGGATTCTGTAGGGCTGGGGTGGGCATGGAATCACTTAACAGAGGTAGATGGAGCATATGAGAGGGCTAGGCTAGGAAGCAGAGGGGAGACCCAGCTGGGGGAGAGAAGGAACGCCAGGAAGGTAACCCAGAACAGAACAACACCTGTTGGGTGGGGGCTGGGCCACAGGAAGAGTCTTATGGCCACTGCTCTTGTCCCTCCAAAAAGCATCAGCCTAGCTAGGGCCCAGCTAGAGGATGACCAAAGATATGGTCACAAACTAGATCCTGGGTAGACAAGGGGGAGCTTGTCTCTGTTATTTAGAGCAGGACCTGGGAGAGGTAAGTTATTGACTATGACTGTAGGTCTGAGAGGCTGGTTCAAGAGGGCTTCCTGGTGGAGGACAGCCTGCTTTTGTCGATGGAGAAGCTGGCAGCTACTCAGGATTCAGGGCAAAGGTGGTATCTGTAGGTGCTGTGCACTGTGCCCTGAGTTGGGGGTCTCTGAGGGAGCTTCTCTTCCCCTCTCAAAAGCAGCAGAGTCCACAGGGGGGTGGCCAGAACACAAAGCACCGGCTGCTGCGTGTGGTCCAGCGTCTGTTCCAGTACCAAGTGCTGCTCACAGGTGAGCCATGGGGGTTGGGGGTGGGGAAGCACAAGGGCAGTGACTCAAGCAGGTATGGGAGGATGGCACAGCTCCAGGCCCCCCCAGTGTCCAGCAGACCCACACGGTCTGCACCAGTGTCCCCCCACCCTTGCTTCAGTGACAGCTCCCATCATTAAATGCAGATACCCAGTCTCACTCCTTCTGTGCCTTTCCTGATTCAGCTGACGTCTCATGAAAGCTGTCCTGGTCCACTCATTCCAATGGACATTCTTTGTGGCTTTTCTGCATCCTGCTTCCTGTCTTCCCTGGCTCTGTGATGCTCTCCCACCTCCCTCCCATCACCATCTGCTTTTCTGTCTCTCTGGCAGCCTCTTCCCACTGGCCCACCAGTATGCGACTTCACAGGGCTCAGGCCTAAGCCTTCTTCCTTCCCTTCCCTTTCTGCCATCCCCATACACTCTGCCTTGCGGACACCCCTGCCTCCATGTTGAGCTCCAGACCCTCTACCCACAGCCTCCCACATGGACATAGCCCCTGGTTTCTAAGGTTCCGATGGGGAGACAGACACCCCTGGGGATGGGGCACATGTAGTTCCAGGGGTTGTAAGGAAACTTCTGGGGCCTCAGCCTGAGAATTCACTTGCCTAATTCAGGAAGGAGCTACTGAGCACTGCCTGAGTACCAGCCCTGTGCTGGATGCTGCGATGGCAGTAAACAGGCAAGGCAGCAGCAAATGACAGTCAAACAGAGATAGAACACCAATGACAGAGCATGTACTTAGCATGTGAAAGGCCCTGGGCTCCATCCCCAGCACCAATGATACAGGGACACATATTTTTATATAAGAATGCAAATACATATTAAAATATAAAGACATATCTGTTAATGCTAAAGAAAAAGCAAGCAGGGGACAGGAAAGTAGCTTCTGTGTTAGACAGGCAGAGACCTCTCAGAGGAGCTGACACTGAACAAAGATCTCAGCAGAGAAAAGACATGTGCCGTATGATCTAGAAGACATGGCAGGTGGAACGAACAGCAGGAACAAAGGCCGTGGGGTAGGAACAAGCTTGGTATGTTCAAGAGACAGAAAGACTGCCAGCATGACCAGACTGCAGGGAGTGAAGCAGAATTGGTATTGGGGTTGGGGCCATGCCAGAGGGGCAGCGCGTTCCCCTGTGCTATGTGGCTGTTACATCTTGTCACAGAAGGCTATAGCTGAGTGTTTTTGTATCTGTAACCCAAAGGTGTAGCCAGTACCGTGCACACCACAAGTACTCGGCAGAGGGTTGATTGAGTGATTAGTTGTGGGGACTGGGATGCTGAGGGAGTCTCAGCATGGGCTGACAGGGTAAGAAGGTGGCCTCCCACTCTTGCGGTACTCTTCCCTCTCTGGAGAGGGGCAGCCACGCAGAGCACAGGAGGCTGCCTCACCAGTTGAACTGACTACTGTCTTTCCCTCTGCCTCTAGACTACTTAAACAACCTATCCCCAGATTCAGCCGAGTATGATAACACACAGGGTAAGTCCTGGAGGAAGGGAACACCTTCTTCTTTTGGCTCCACCCCCCAACACCAGAGTCTAAACCCGCATCCAGGATAGACATGGCCCCCTTCTCACCAGCTGGACATATTCTAAATTTAACCTCTCTGGGCTGTTTGCAGAGTATCCCCAAGTCTTCTGAGATGACCTCTATCTTCCTTGGTCATGGGAGCCCTGAGGGATGTGTCCAGAGAGGGAGAGGGAGGTCACAGAGGAGTCTAAGATGCTCACCACTACCTCCCACCCCTCCTACCACTATGCCCCTGCCAGGGTGGATCCAGTGTAATATAGGCAGTCTACAGCCAGGGAAGCTGGGGCAGTCATGGAAGAGCTGGGGTTGTGCCCATGACTTGATGCTATAGTAGGAAAAACTGGTGCCTCCCACCTACACAATTCTCAGGGGAGGCACACAGATGGAGAGGGGAGGGCAGAAGAGACATGCAGACAGAAAGAAGGGGAGTGTAGCTGGACTCATCCTTGCACACTCCACCATCTGCCCCACTTTCCTCCCTAGGTGTTCTGACCCTCATCTCCAAAATGACAGACCGTGCCAATGACAGCATGGAGCAAGGGGTAAGTTCAGCCACTGACCCCTTCCCTGGGTGCAGACTCCAGGACCTCTTCATCCTGTGCATCTTTCTGGTGCTGCTCCACTGTCTGTCTCCTGGGGTTCTACAAAGAACCTTGGGTTCTGGCCTTGACACTTGCTATGTGATCTTGGGTCCTGTGTGTCCCTCTATGGGCCACTGGTTCCCCATTTGAACTGTGAAGGAGGTCATAGACTTGTACAGACTGGATAAACAATGCTGCCTTCCGTGGTGTCACCTGGGGTGTGATATGTAACCAACATGCTCCTAGGTACCCTTACATCCCAGTCAGTTTCTGGGCGTAGGGTCCAGAGGCACACATTTTTAATAAATTACACCCACATAGAATCATGGATTCACTAGGTTCCTGGAATCCCAGTGCACATCTAGTTGTGACAGTGTGTAACTCTGTTTGTTGGACAGTGGTTGCATGTTCACTGGAGTCTGCTGAAGATGACTGGCTTTATTCCACATCCCAGCTCTACCTGAGCAGTTTTCATGGACATTTGTGTCAATATATTTACTGGACTGTTAACATGCTAGAGCTATGTGTTGAGAATGAGCCAGTTTTGAGTCCTAGCTCAGCACAGCAGTTCAGCAATCTTAGTCATGTCTTTCATCAGCATAGAAGGAGATGATGGTTGTATGTGTCAGGGTATTGCTCAGCAGCTCTCCTGCAGCGGATACACAGAGAAGAAGGGAAATGGGATCTATGGGTCATCCATCATATGGGTCAGGCCTGTAGTTATATGTGGACTGGAGGAAGCAGAGGTGCTAAGCCAGGGATGCCAGGCCTGGAGGAAGCCTGGGCTCAGCAGAGCAGTGACTGTGAATGCAAATAAGCACAACAAATGCTTAGAGAATGGAGGTACTATAGGTTCAGAGGACTGAGTCCCACAGCCAGGGTCAGAGGACGCAGCATCACTTCCAGTGAGAGGAAATGCTGTGAAGGGGCCTGTAAGCGTGTGCACACTGATGGGAAGGCAGAGGGAGAAAGGGCCTGGGCAGAGGCCAGGGATGGGAGATCTAGGGTACATCGACCGTGTTTTGGCACCCAGTGTGGCTCATAGGACTAGAGTCTGGGGACAGAGGCAAAAGCTGGCAGGGGTGGGGCAGCTGGGGTGGAAGCTGAAGGCAGCAGACTTGAAAACACAGACCAGTCTCTGACTGCCTCCAAGGAGGGTCAGACCTGTCATAGTCACCTGGTCCTCTGTCTCCCACCGTGATGTCCACCATGTCCTGTCTTTGTCTGTTTAGTGTCCTATATCCAAGTAGTGAGGCTCCCTTGGTGCAGCTGAGAGCGAGGTATTTCAGGGCCAGCACCCCCTCACTGCAGGGGCCCATGGTGGGTGGTCCGTGTCCTCCTGTAGGCAGGCCTGCCTCTAGGTTGGTATGGACATGTCACCCCTCCTTGGAGAGAGGTGAGTGTACAGCACCTGCAGGAGGATTGAGGCAGCCACACCTCCTGGCTTTCTTGAAATGAGGTGGATGCATGGGCAACATAGCCATTCCAACCTGCTCTGGATGAGGCCCCTGGCCCCTGCTTGCTTGTCTGGTCAGGGGCTTGCTTGTGACATAGTCAGAAGTCCAGGTAAGCCTGACTCACAGCTCAGCTCAGGAGCTGTGTTACTAAGGCAGCTGCAGCTCTGCCACCACCACTCCAGGACTCATCCTGCTTGGTAGATTCCTCAGGTCCCTCCGGGCTTTGCACCAACACCATGAGTGGTACTATTAGTATGTCACATATTGCCACTGCCCTGTTTGCAAAGAGTCCATGCTTGTGAGTCACCTTTAGTAGTGTTTCAGAAGTAATGACAGACTGTGAGGACGGGGTGGCTTTCTGGAAGGGATGATACTAGTGTCAGGCTCACATCTCCCAGGGCAGCTGAGCTGGAGATGTGAGTAGTAGGAGCCAGCACCCACCACTCCACTGATCTCAGACTGGACGCATGCTGTCAGGTCCCCCACTGCCACTGTCTCAGAAACAGCAGTAAGTGTATTTGGATAAAGCACTGGTGGGCAAGCCAGGACCTTGTCAGAGCAGCCTGCTAACAGAAAGCTGTCAGGCCATCAGAGAAGCTTCTAAGCAAGACTATAAGCCAGAAGAAGGGGAATAGTCTGTGGATGGATGGGAAAAGCCCTTGCCTTGCTAAGGAGGTTGCAGCACAGGCCATGACACCCCCCTCTCCTTGCCTTGTGGTGACCACATCTGCCCCCTGGAACTTATACTCTCAGCCAGACCTTGTGCCAGGTCATCCTTGACCCTAACAGTGAAACTTTGAGGAGGGCATGCATAAGCAGCCCCTTCACATGGAAGAAACAGATTGGAAACATAAGTTGTTTCACCCAAATTCACTGCACTGTGGGTGGGATGGCTGGATTCGAACCCAATGCCTTCTTAAAGATTTAAAATATTTACGTGTGTGTGTGTATGTGTGTGTGTGTGTGCGCGCGCACGCATGCTCCCATGCATATGGGTGCCCACAGAGGCTAGAAGAGGGCATTGGATCCCCCTGAGCTGGAGTTACAGGAGGGTATGAGCTACCCAGTGTGGGTGCTGGGAGCCAAACTCTGCATGCAAGAGTTGTACACACTCTTAACTGCTGGGCCATCTCTCCAGCCGCTTCCCCAACCCCATGCTTTCTTAAATCTATTTTTAACTGGTGTGTAAAAATTGTACCATGTGGTGGCACACACACACACACACACACACACACACACACACAAACACACACATTATGCAATATCTACATCCAGCTACCTTGTCTATCTCCTCATACTGAAGTGTTTCTTCACAGTGCAAATAGTGCTGCTCCCTTCTTGTAGGTTTCTGAAGTACAGAGGGATCAGTGTCACATACAGTCACCACCCCCCACCACCCCCACAGTAGCTCACCAGAGCTGCCTGCCCATCCTGTAACAAAGTGTTCTCGTAAGTTTTGATTGAATACCAGGCATTATGAAGTTCTGTGGAGACTGAGGGGACCAGCATTTGCATCTTGTTTTGGTTTGCTATATGTGGCATGATGTGGGGAGCCAGTCCAGTCAATGGTCAGCCTTCATCTCCTTCCATTGTCTCATGCTGTCTGTGGAGCTCTCAGCTCTGAGTTCCCCCTAACATTAAGCTCACCCCGACTTCCTACAGTCCCTACAAGCAGAAAGGCACTCTCTGAGACGTCTGGCTGCCCAGTGCTCTGTAGAAACCCCACCCTGCCTTGAGCCTGACTTTGGACATGTCCTCTGGGGTATTCAGCTTCTGTGTGGCATCAGGGCACAGCATAGGGTCCTCTCCTCAGGGCATGTAGCTTTTGCTTGGCCACTTCCTTGGGCAGTATATTTTTGCCTATGAGGCAGGTGAGTTTCCTGGCCTTCCCAGTGCTGAAGCCTTGTACAACTAAGGAGTCTAGGGCAGCTTGTGCACTTCATCTCAAAGGGGCTCTTTCTGGCCCCTGTGCTGCCCTCAGTGCCCAACAGAGACACCTGGAGGAAAGCTTAGAAGTTGGGGGTCATCACTGGCATCTGTGGCTCCATTACCCTGAACTGTGCACCAGGAGGCCATACCTGACAAATTCATGAACATTTCAGTTGCTTTCTTCTTTAATTTTTTTTACATTTATTTATTTATGTGCAAACATTTGGAGGTCAGAGAACAGCTGATGGAGTCAGTTCTGCCCTTCCATCGTGTGGGCTCTGGGGATTGAACTCAGGTCATTAGGCTTGGTAGCAAGTGCCTTTACCCACAGAACCATCTTACTTACCTTACTGCTTTTGCCTTACCTCCTTCTGCCAGCCTCTTCTTCCTGAATGTGGCATGATAGTTCCTGTATCTTGCATCTGTAGAGTGCCTTGTGGGTCTCTGTAATCCAGTCCACATGACCTAGCCTCTCACAGGAGCAAAGATATGAAGGCATAGATGATCAGGCCGTTTCTTGCCATTCAGGCAGGAGCAGTGGGCCACATCTCTCAAGAGGTGGATGAGGAGTGGGCCTTCTGTGCAGGGTGCCGCACCTGAAACGTTGGGGAACCAGAGGGCCTTTCCAAGGGAGTTGCTGCATGCGGTTTTCATCTACCTGCGTGAGGGTCAAGACACACCTGCTTACTGTTCTCAGGATCCTGGGGGTGCTCTGCAGAGTAGACAGATGGTAATGGCCCAGGGAGGGAGCAGCAGGGAGTTTCCAGGCAGCTTGTTTTTCTAAGCATGAGGCTGCAAATAGTTCACCTTTCTCACCAGGGCTGCAAGCCAGGAGAGATTGAGTCTAGTCCTTGAGTCCTAGGTTGCTGAATGCTGATGTCCCAGACCTTCTGAGGGACCTGAGGCCCAGTGACAAATGGGTGTGTCTGATACAGGAACTGCTCCCATGGCACACATGGTGGTATCAGACAAGGCCCATAGGAACTCCTTGACTGTGGACAGCCCCAGTTGTCCTGCTGTTTCTAGGAGCTTGGATTTAGGCCAGGCCTCTCTGAGTGCCATTTTCCTCCTTGGAGTTGGAGGTGATACCCCTACAGAGGAGATATGGTGTGTGTTTGGGGGGTGGGGACTGACCATTTCCTCACCCTACTCTCACCCACAGGAAAACCTTCAGAAGCTGGTCCACATTGAGCACAGTGTGCGTGGCCAAGGGGACCTCCTCCAGCCAGGAAGGGTGAGTGCCACAGGGCCAGGACCAGGGCCAGAGGCTCTGATAAGCCTATTGTTCAGCTGGGCTGGTCCCAGACAGGCCTGGCTACAGGTGCTGTTTATTGGGGCAGGGGAAACATGGTATACCACCCTGGGGTGCAGTTAAAAACAGTGCCAGTTAGTTCTGCTCACCATAGCTGTCCTCTGGTCCTCTTCATTAATGAGAAGAAGCACCAAGTGTTTTCAGTCCAGAGCTGCCAGGAAAACAGAAGACCAGCCCTTGGGACAAGCCCCAAGAAAGCAACTTAAAAATAGCATTCTTTACAAGATGCGGCAGGGTGATGCTTTTGAGTGGAGAATGGGCTTAGCATGTGCAAAGTCCTGGGTTCCATTCCGAGAGAGGGAGGGGGTGGGAGGAAAGGAGGAAGTAAGTGAATGATTTTTAGCTTCCAGATGAAAAACATACAACTCAGCTCAAAAAATAGAAGTATGATCATCACCCGTTGGAATGAGAACTTGAACCTAGTGGATTTTATCCAACTTTTGGGATGGTGCTAGTCTGGGGCTCTCAAAATACATGTGTGGTTTTGGCCTGGACCCTAAGTTCTGTAAAAACTTACTAAGCCTGTGGTTGTGCCCTCCAGAAGGAGGGCGCTGGAGGTCCTGTTCACATGTTGGCTATTCAGCAAACTCTCAAAGGCTGAATTCTAAATGGACCCCTCCTTCGCAGTGCCATTTAGGGAGAGAGTTATGACTGGGACACACACTCAGTGACTGAAGCAGTTTGGACTTGGCACTATGTAAGGACACTCTGGGAGACTGAGCTGCCCAGCTCAGGCTCCTGTGCCAGCAGCCTCCGTGAGTTGTTCCCGAGTACTCTGGCAGCCATGGTAACCGCTTCCCACCTACCCGGAGTGTCCCTGGCCTTTCTCACTTGATGACTGAGGTTGACCTCTTTCCCCACAGGAGTTCCTGAAGGAAGGGACGCTGATGAGAGTGAGAGGGAAAAGCCGACACCCCCGGCACCTGTTTCTGGTGAGCACCGGCCCCAAGCTAGGCCCCAGACTGTTGAGCTGTGGGGCTTTCTAGAGCCAGCATTTGGGGACAAGCAGGGGAAGCAAGAGAGTCTTTACCAAGTCAGGTCCCACAGTGTTAAGCTGTGGGATTTTCTAGGGCTAGAGTTTGGGAAAAGCATAGGGGACAGAACAAGGACAGTCTTTAGGATGAGGCTCCCTCTGAATAGCTAAACCTTCCAGAAAACCCAGAGCCTTTCCTTTGGCAGCCCCACCCCATGGCTCATGTGTTGTCTGAATGGTTTTGAGGGGAAATACTACTGAAATCAATCGCTCAAGCCAGGGCTTTCTTAAGCAATTCAAAGCCCCTGTTCAGCACCTTCTATAGTGTCTGAGACAGTAGAGGAAAACTCCTCATCCAGGTCTCCCAGCAGATTGTCAACCAAGGCTCAGAGGGCACCCAGGTTTGTGGCCCTGGTCCATCACTCTCTTCTGCTGATATTAACTTGTCTGAGGGCACACAGCCACACCTTGAATGTCAGGAAGTGTCCAGGCCTGAGTGGTTGCAATGCCAACCTCAGAGTCTCAAGCTATAAATAGCTCTTTGCCTCTATCTAGGACCCCAAGACACTGCATCTTCTGTGTTGACTCTCACTAGTATATATATCTGAGATGGTCATGTTCTAAAGAGGAAAGGTGGACTTTGGCTCCCTGTTCTGGAGATACCAGTGGTTCTGTGGCATTGGGCCTATGGCCAGGCAGCACAACAGGGCAGATCAGTTGCTCACCTCATGGGAAAAAAAAAAAGAGAGGAAAGGGAAGGGGCTGGGTTCCCACAGTCTCCTTCAAGGAGACCAGTGACCTAACTTCCTCCCATTATGCCCCACCCCCTAAAGGTTCCTCTCAAGAGTGCCATGGGGCTAGAGACCAAGCCTTCAACACATGGGCCTTTGGGGGACCCTTAAGAGCCAAACTGTAGGCCTGCTGCCTGCTGGTCTTCACTGTTCCCTGACTCCTGAGCCTCTTACTGCCATCCTTCTGACTGTCACTGGGGCTGATATGAAAACAGGCACTGCCATTAGTTGGGGGACATGGTAGCGAGTAGCTCTGGGTATACAGCTAAGAGCTCTGTGAATCAAGTGGTCACTGAGGAACCCCAGAGCACTGAGGGCATATGTGCAGAGGCCTCTTGAACATCTGACCAGCAGTAGAACTCACAGGATGGCTTGGCTCCTTGGGGGTTTCAGGGGTGCCACCAAGGAGTGCCAGGTCCCTGCACCCCCAGTGACCCACCATGGATAGAGCTTGCCTTTGGGGCCAGGGCACAAGTGATGGGGTACCTTCTCTGCAGATGAGCGACATGCTCCTGTACACGTATCCCCAGAAGGATGGGAAGTACCGGCTGAAGAGCTCACTGCCAGTGGCCAACATGAAGGTAAATGCCTGGTGCTGGGCACCCTGGGTCCAGGGCAGGGAGGAGAGTGGGGGTGGGGATCCAGCCTTGCTCTTCCCCACTGAGGAGGAAGGCCCTAGGAAACAGTGCTCAGCGTGGGCTGCAGCAGGTTTATGCTCTGGTCTCCAGGCAGAGCCGGGTGCCTGTGACATGCCTGAGGGTAGGTGGGGCAGGGAGAGGGAAGGGGCACCCCACAAGGAGGACAGTGCATGAGGAAGGGCTTGAAGGGCGCAAATGAGCAGGTTTTGGTAGTTTTTAAATGTGGTAAGATACAGATAGCACATTAACCATCTTAAAAAAAAAAAGATTTCTGAGTGTTTTGTTTATTATGAGCATTTTGCCTACATGTATTTAAGTGTACTGAGTGCATGCAATGCTCACCAGAGGCGAGAAAATGACATCTGATCCCTTAGAACTGGAGTTACAGATAGTTGTGAACTACTATGTGGGTGCTGGGAACTAAACCCAGGTTCCTCCAGGAGCAAGTGTTTTCAAGCCATCTCTCTGGCTCCCCTCTGAACTGTCTGAAGGGTATAGCTCAGTGGCATGAACCAGTGCTGTGAGGCAGCCCTGCCACCCAGCCCTAGAACATTCCTGTCTTCCCAAACAGAAACTCCATTTAACACTGACTACCCATCCCTGCCCCAAGCCCCTCCTGTGTCCCAGCCTGGCCAGACTCTTCTGAACAAAGGAATTCCCACCAGGAGAGAGTCCAGCATTGAGCCTAGGCAGTGCCAGCTCTGAAAGCCTGTCTCCTTCCTTTGTTCTGTTGCTGTGACTGTGACCGCTCAAGGGGCCTCGTGTAGGTAGACTGCAGCATCTCTCTCCATGAGTCCAGCTGGCTTTGCTGAGCATTGTCTTCAAGGTTCCCATGTGGCAGCATGGGTCAGAATCTCCTTCCTTTTCCAGACTCTTGGGAGGGGGGATGAGAGAGAGAGAGAGAGATTCTGTTGCTCTATTTCCATCAGTGGACAGCTCTGGGCTGTTGTGGTAGAGTGGTCATGGCCATAGACATAAGTGTGTGGACTAGCATGGTATAACTTGAACATGGAGGTGCTTGGGAACTTTGGGGAATTCTTGAGACAAAGAAAGTCTTGGAAAGATAATTCTGGTGCCACCTGAGGATGGGGTCTAAGAGGGGGACACTGGGGAGAACAGAGCAGCAGGTGGTAGGAGCAACCTTGTCAGAAGTCTGTTCACTCACCCTTGTAGACAAAGCTGTGCTAACCCTCCCTCCCACCCTAAAGTAGATGTTGGTTTTCCTGGCAGGTCAGCCGCCCTGTGATGGACAAAGTGCCCTATGCTCTGAAGATTGAGACTCTCGAGTCCTGCCTGACTCTATCTGCGAGGTATGGAGAACCCAGGGCAGTGGGACCAGAGGGCAGTAGAGCCAGAAGGCCCAAAGGCAGCGAGACAGAGCTTTTAAGGTGGGGATATACAGAATGGCAGAGGCCGGAGTCATCATTTTTACTCCAGTGCCCTTTTAAATGAAACACTGAACTTTCTTTTCAGTGTTTCTTAAGCACGATGTGGTCATAGACCTTCTGTAGAATATGATTTAAAAAAAAAACAAACAAACACTGTCCTGGTTTGTTTCTTCATTACTGTGACAAGATACTCTGACCAATACCAACTTGGGGAGGAAAGGGTTTATTCAGCTTACATCTCCCAGGTCACAGTTCATCAGGGAGCCCAAGGTAGGAACTCAGGGCAGGAACCTGGAGGCAGGAGTTGGAGCACAGGCCATGGAGGAACACTGCTTACTGACTTGCTCTCCTGGCCCCTGCTCAGCCTGCTTTCTTATGCAACACAGGCCCACCTACCCAGGGGTGGCACCACCCACAGTGGGCTGGGCCCTCCCACATCACTCATCAAGAAGATGCCCCTCAGACATGGCCACAGGCCAGTCCAATAGAGGCAATTCCCCAATTGAGGCTCCCTCAACCCAGGTGTGTCAAGTTGACACTAAAGCTATCCAGCACAACCACCCAGCATCCAGGACAGAGGCAGACTTTGTCTCAAAACTCCAAAGGCATCTGGTATGATGGTACATCCTGATAATTCCCGCACTGAGGATGCTGGGGCAGGAGGATCACGAGTCTGAGGCCAGCCTGGGCTAGCAGATTGAGACCCTGTCTCAAAAAACTGGGGGCTGCAGAGATAGCCCTGTCAGTAAAGTATTTGCCACACAAGCTTGAAGGCCTGAGTTTGATGCCCAGAACCCACATGAAAAAAAGCCAAGTATGATGGTACATGTTTGTAATCTGAGAGCTAGAGAGGCAGGCATAGGAGGAAGATCCCTGGGCTCACTGACCAGCAGTCTATCAGAACAAACAAAAAAATAACAGAGCTAAGTTAGGTGGTACATGTCTCAGGAGACAGAGGTAGGCAGATCTCTGTAAGAACAAGGCCAGCCTGGTCTATTTAGTGAATTCTAGGCCAGCTGGGGCTACAGGGAAACCATCTCCATCTCAAAAAAAAAAAAAAAAAAAAACCACACCAAAACAACAAAAAGAAAAAACACGGAAGGCTGGCACTTAGCTCAGGGGTAGAATATGTGCCTAACATACTCAAGGTCCTGGGTCTAGTCTCCAGCAGCACACACACACAAAAAAAAAAGATAGCTTCTGTGCCCAGAAACACATCTGCCCTCATAACGGTATCTCATTGTGAAACTTTCTGGGCGATTGGCTCCACGTGATGCTCAGGCCACTTAGATGTGTCCTGTGCCCAGTAGCTTTTGGCCTTGATGCTTTCTACAGGACAAGAGGAAGAGTGACCAGTGAACACCCTCTCACTGATCATTCCCCGTTGAGAGGAATCTTAGCATTTGAGGTGCTGCTATAATTAAAACATAAACTAGTTATCTGGTAAATTTGCGTCTCACAGTCTAGGGGCTGGGAAATGTAAGACCAAGGTACTAGTCAATTTGGGGTCTGGTGAGGACCCCTGCTTGTAGATGGCACCTTCCTGCTCTAACCCTATAGGGTGGAGGGCACAAGGGGTCCCATCAAGGAGAGGGAAGGCTTCCTGGAGGATGTGATGCCTGGGACAGCTCTGTGGCCTCTCCTTTCTGCTTGATGCAGTCAGGGGCCTCAGGGTCCCAGGGTATAGTTTCTGTGTGCCCAGCAGTGACAGGGTGGTAACAGACCAGGTTGGGGTTTTCATATGAGGATGGTCACCTCCTTCCAGCTGGGCCACTAATGTCTGATCTGTGGCCTGGAGCAGCCACTACCATTAATAGGTCCACTGCCTTTCTAGTCCAGACCCTGCACACTAGTGGGGGTGGGCATGTCCTTTGGCAGCATGACCCCAAACTGCCCACCGTGCCCTTTCAGCTCCCCAGCCAAGCCAAAGTTGTCCCTTCTTCCTGCCTAGACTTTCTGCCAGTTTGGGTGGCTCTTGAGTGGAGTGTGACACCTGGTGGACACTGTGAGAATTTCCACCCAGCTTTCTCCTTGGAGCTCTGTACACTCAGCCTGGGGTAGTTTCCCCTGCTCCTGAATGGCTATAGGCTCTAAGGAAGCTATATCCTCATCCAGGCCGAGCAGGCACTGGGAAACTGTTTGTTGGATATGTGTGTCTCTGAAGCTGTCTGTGGAAACGAAACGGAAGGCAGAGAGCTGATACTTTCCAGCACCAGCAGGCCTGTCCCTTGTAAATATCAGCACCAGCAGGCCTGTCCCTTGTAAATTGTGGGATGATGTGGGCCAGGTGCCAGTGCTTGGGCAGTAGACTAGGCTCAGGTTGGGGGTTGTTGAGCAAAGATTCACTGCTGGAGAAGGGGTGACAGGCAGAGTTGCCCAAGCGTGCTGTGGCTCACCCAGCCCATGCCTGCAGCTCCTGCGCTGAGAGGGACGAGTGGCACAGCTGTCTGAGCAGAGCCCTCCCCGAGGACTACAAAGCCCAGGCTCTGGCTGCCTTCCACCACAGCGTGGAGGTGAGTGGGGGCCACCCTGGGGTTTCTTGGGCTGATACTAGTGCAAACCACTCACATCAAGAGAACAAGTACCTCTATCCTTGAGACCCTAGCACTGTTCCTACCTCACCCCATCCACCATGCTCCCCTCAGAGTCAGGCACTTCGGTGCAACCCAGGAACACAGCACCTAGGCCACGCCTTCCAGCCTGGCAAGCTGACCAAGGGATGCATGCAGGAGAGGTTTACTCAGAATTAGAACGAGAATGGGGTGGGATTTCCTCAGCTTCCCCTCTGACTCTCTCCTGACTGCGGCTGTTGACCTGTCTCTGCTGCCACAGATCCGGGAGAGGCTGGGGGTCAGCCTGGGGGAGAGGCTCCCCACTCTGGTGCCCGTCACACACGTCATGATGTGCATGAACTGCGGCTGCGACTTCTCGCTCACTGTGAGGCGTCATCACTGCCACGCCTGTGGCAAGGTGAGTGACAGACTTGGAGGAGGGTATACTCAAGAGATGAGTGGGTGCCTTCCTGCCCAAGGGGCTTGGGGCCAGAGTAGAGGTTGTTCCTGCCCATTTCTGATCTCCTCCAATCATGGCCAGTTCCAGGCTGTTCTGCTACTGCATTATGTTAACCCTGGAGTGTGGGTCTCTCCCTCCCCTCGTGGGTCATTGGCCACTGATCCACGAGGACAAAGGGAGCAGAAGCAAATGGGTTCAGGACAGCCACTGAGCACGACGGAAAAAGACTTTCCTGGGAGGCAGATTCAGTGATACAGCTCCAGATTCAGTGATACAGCTCTGTTTATTCAGTCGGGGTCAGGGAAAATACAGTGTGGAGGCAACAGACAAAGCTTCAGCTGATAGGTGCTCATAGTATGCTTTATTTACATGTGATAGGGGGATCCTATCATCTGACTATAGGGCAATGCCTAATTATCATATAGAAAAAACCTGGGGGCAGCTTTATTGCAGGTAACTATGCCAAAGGTCATCCAAATAAGGTCACGCATCCGTGCTTGGCGGCACTTTCCAGGTAAGTCAGGCAGAGAGCAGGAGGCCCCCGCTGAGAAAAGGAGTCCTTCCATATAGCGCCAAGCCCCTTAGAACTATCTGGACATGGAGGACTACAACCTTAGTAGCAGGGTACCCCAACACTGGAGCACCCATAGCTCTGGTCCTCAAAGGAGAGTGTTACTTTACAGTTAATAGCATAGTTTTTCAGAAAAACAGGCATCTGCTCAGAGGTGCCCTGTAGCCCATGCTGGAAAAGCGGGGGCCTGCATAGCACAGCATGACTAGGGACCTGGAGCTGCCTGGAGGAGGTGAGTGGTGGATTAACAGATGGAGAGCACATGTTGAGATGGTGACTGATCATTCGTGTTCCCAACCTGGCCTTAGATTGTGTGCCGGAACTGTTCTCGCAACAAGTACCCCCTTAAGTGCCTAAAGAATCGGATGGCCAAGGTCTGCGATGGCTGCTTCCGGGAGCTGAAGCTAAGGAATGGGCCAGTCCCAGGCCCCATGAGAGGTAACCCTGCATGGCCCTTGCCTACTTCAGGCCCTGGTAACTTCTTTCCAAGTTCTAATGATACTTCTGTGGCCCTAGCTCCTACTGGAACCCACTTTCCCCTGACAGAGGCAGCCCCTGAGAAAGCCAAGGCTCCAGCTCACATAGGGCTTCTCTCTCAGGCCCAGCTCCATAAGAACCTGAGGATGCTCCCAGAAAAAGGACTCCATGGGCAGCTGAACTTGGGGGCTTTTGTGTCCCTGTGAAGGACTGAGTAGGCAGGGCCCCTGTGGCTGTCCATGGAGGCCTATGTTTTGTGAGACTTTTCTAAGATTTTTAATATGTATACTTGTGTATCTTATGTGGGTCCATGCACATACCCAGGTGCCCACAGAGACCAGATGTCAGATCCCCTGGAGCTGGAGTTACAGGTGGTTGTGAGCCACTCAGAATAGATGCTGGGAATTGAACTTGGGTCTTCTTCAAGAGCAGTGTGTGCTCTTAACCTCTGAGCCATCTGTCCAGCCCCATGGGACTTTTGGGGGTGTTCCACAGACCTGTGTTCTGTGGGGCTTGGCATGTTTGTGAGGCTGCTAGAATGAGAAACCTCTAGAAGCTAAGGTGGCCCTTGTGACTTTGTGCTTAAGAGACAGGCTGTGCTCAGCAGGTTCAGACAAGAGGGGTAGCAGGTGTATCCTGGGTCTCTCTGGGGCCACACCAAGGTGTCAGGGCCAGCGCAGCCCTGCTAATGGGACCAGGAGGGAACATGCCAACTATCCTGGGCCCATTGACCCCTCTGAGGCTTGGGAGGACCTGAGCCAGCATTCCAGAGACAACCCCCCTCCCTGACTTCTCCACTCCACAGAGCGACCTGTCAGCATGAGCTTCCCGCTGTCCTCAGCTCGCTTCTCCTCGGGCAGCACCTTTTCCTCCGTCTTCCACAGCATTAGCCCCTCCACCTTCAAGAAGCAGAAGAAAGTCCCTTCGGCCCTGAGCGAGGTAAGACCTGGGTGGGAGATGGCGACTTGGAAAGGTCTCATCCTCCATGGACAGGCTCGGACCCTCCTGTTCCAGTCTGGCCAGACTCTTCTGAACAAAGAGAATTCCCACCAGGAGAGAGTCTAGCATTGAGCCTAGGCAGTGCCAGCTCTGAAAGCAAGTCTGTCTCCTTCAGATGGCTCACCTGTGGGGGCTGCATAGTTGTTTGGGGGGCATCCTTCTGTCCCCACCCCACCCCCCTCTTTTTCTCTGCCCCATAGCATAGACCTAGGGGCCATAGGGGCTGCCCAGGTCACTGGCGAGCCACAACTGTGGGTCAGTTATCCTGTGTCAGCCTTCCTAAACTGTGAGCGCCCCCAGGCTGGCAGTCCACCCAACACAGGTGCTGGGCCTTCTTGAGGCCATGAACCTCTGCAAGAAACCTCAGAGCTGGCTAAAGTCACATCTATCCTTCAAGCAGGAAAAGATCATATGTGACATTCTAACCACAACCCTAGACAGTATGTACCTGAGAATGCAGGAGCCTTCCCAAGAAGTGTGGCTAGCTGTTTCCAGGTCCCCATTAATATCCATCATCAAAAAACCAGTATAAAGATGTGTGAGGGGTGAAAACTTTAAATGTGTGCCTCTCCGTCCATTAGCTTATTCCATTTGCAAATTAAAAATCTTGAAAATATGGTTGGAGCATAGCTCAATAGTAGAGCACTTGTCTGTCATGTGAAAGGTTCTGATCACCCCCCAAAATCTTGGAAAATAATATATACATGATAATATTTTTGCAAAAAACATACAAAATAGTATATACAATGGAAATGAATTCTGCCCAACCTCCCTTAGTCCCTAGAGGTAATTACCACCAAAGATTTTATGGATCCTTTGAGAAATGTTCACACATGTACATAATATAAAAATATGTCCATAGATCCTAGTTTATCTCTGCCACCCTCTGGAGGTCTTTGCCTTAAGTGTCCATATCATTATCCAGCATGGTTGCTCTTAGAGGACCCAGGAGAGGAACACTCCACAGCCCTACTCTCACTGGGACCCCACCTCTGCAGCAAATTGTTTCCCAACGGGAAGTTGAAGAAACCTGCCAGAGTTCCTGAATATATACCTCACAGGGAGGTTGCAGAATCAGATGCAGAGGTGCTCCATCAGGGCAGGAGGGGAGAGAGCCCAACTGGAATTTGAAGTCTTGTGCCCTCTGCCAGGACAAAACCCCAGCTTTCTTGCCTTCTCCAGTCTGAGATGGTTGTAGGTTCTGGGCTGAAAGGCCCAAGTTTTATCCTCTATTAACCTGAGTAGGGATTGTACTTCAGTAAATTCCTCATTCCTCTAGGCCTCAGTGTCCCCATCTGTAAAATGAGGAAAGTCAGAGGATGTTATCTCTAAGCCTGGCCATCGTGCTTTCCACTTTCCTCTAGATCAGGCACTGCACCTGCCAAGGTCTGCCTTATGCTCTTTACTAGTAAGAAAACAGAAGTTGGGTATGATGGTGCATGTCTCGAAAACAAAACAAAACAAAAAGCCCACAACAGCAACAACAACAAAACCCAAAAAACAAACAAATAAACAAAATCACATTCATACACATAAAAAAGTAAAAATAAATGAGATTTTTAAAAAGCTAGGTGTGGTAGCACATACCTTTAATCCCAGAACTCCAGGGGCAGAAGAAGAGGCTGCATCAATGACCTCTGTGAGATCAAAGCCAGCCTGGTCTACATAGCAAGTTCTATTACAGCTGGGCTACAGGGAGACTCTGTCTCAAAAAACAGTAAGAGCTGGCTCAGTGGTTAAGAGCACTGGCTGCTCTTTGCAGAGGATCTGGGTTCAGTTCCCAGAACCCACATGATAGCTAACAATCATCCATAACTCCAATTCCTGGAGACTTTCAACACCATCTTTTGGCTTCTGTAGGCAGTGTATGCATGTGATGCACTAATATATATATATATATATATATACAAACAAAACACTAATACAGAAAATAAATTTTTTAAAAAGAAACAAGAAAACAGACCCACAGAAGATCAGTAAATTGCCTGATGGGAATCCCAGACTGCATCACTCCCAGAAAGCTGGGGTCCTTTGTGGTGCTGGAGGTGGAACCTAGGTCCTCATGCAATGCTCTGTACACACTGTGCCAAAGCCCTAAATCCAATATTCTCAGTCACTGCCAGACCATGATCAGTGGGGTGTCACCTCCACACAGCAGCTACAGTAATGATTCAGTGGGGCTATACCCACCCCACTAGTCAGGAGACCCCAAAACCTTTTAAATAATCAGTACAAAATTCTTCCTATAAAATGTAAGAAAGCTGAACGTATATAAAGTCTCTAAATTGAAAGTGTACAAACTCCTTTAGGGAGGAAGAACCTGAGGTTCTGTGATTTGGGGCTCCAGAAGGGGCAACCCTCTGGGAGGCAGCTTTATACTTCTGGGTCCATTTCTTAGACTCTGAAGTACAGCTTTGTGGTCCAGGAGCGCAGAGACCTGATCAGCCTTTGAACCCATCTGCTGCTGGTGTACCCAGTCATTTTGGCTATTTGCTCCGTTCCCTGACCGCACTGCTTCCCTTCCACCAGGTGACCGCCTCTGGAGAGGGCTCAGCCATCAGTGGCTACCTGAGCCGGTGTAAGAGGGGCAAGCGACACTGGAAGAAGCTCTGGTTCGTCATCAAAGGCAAAGTGCTCTACACCTACATGGCCAGCGAGGTAGTGCTCTTTTCACCACTATTTTCCTGAAAAGGCCTTATGTTAAGGAGCAGGTGGAAGGGGGAGTTCAAAGGGCCAGCTGGGGTCTGCACTATCTTATTACCTGCAGGCCTGTGTCCTGGATGCTGGAACCTCTTTTGGTAGCAATCAAGCCTTTATGTTGGAGTGTGGCTGTGGATATAGAGTCACCAGAAAGCTCCATATAGGAATTTGCAGTTTATTTGTGTGTGGGGGCGGGATGCAGACCTGTGTAACAAGAGTACTTAAATGACACAGGTGGGATAAGCCAGTCAGGCCACAAGAGAAAACTACTTTCTGTTCTGTTTGGGTTGCCTGGGAGAACTTGCCACAGCTCCAAGGTAAATGGCCCTTTGTATGTTGCTCTTACTAGAATGACAAATGGCTCTAAGTAATGCTTCCAAATACAAGTGAAATTTCTGTTTTTATAGGACGTGTTGGTTTTACAGTTTCTAGAGTTTCAGTGTGGGCAAGGGGATGTGGTTGAGCTGGTAGAAAGTTTGCCTAGCAAGCATGAGGCCCTGGGTTCAATCCCCAGCACTGCATAAACCAGGTGGTGGTAGTGCATCCTATCATCCCAACACTCAAGAGGGAGAGGCAGGAGAATCAGAAGTTCAAGATCAACCTTGGCTACACAGTGAACTGGAAGCCATCCTGGACTACTTAAGACCCTGTCTCAAAAATCAAATACGCACAAGAGATCCCTCCAGGCTCAGCCTGCTGCTGGGGTAGACAAGTGTAGGCCATTTCTATCTCCGGGCCCTACCCCCCCCCCCCCCCTCTCCCAACAATGGCCCCCCCCCCCCCCCCCCCCAGTTTCCACAGACCAAATCCACTTTGCAAATAAGAATCCTGACCTTCTTTGGCAGAGGATATACACATTAGCCTATGGCTGGACCTTCTCAGATGACCTCGGGTGATGCAAACTCGTGTACCTGCCTCCCTTTCCACAGACCTGCAGTTGTGACTGTGAGGCACAGGGCCAGCAGAGGAACAGGCAGATAGAGGGGACCTTCGTTCATGTGTCCACAGTGGGGCTTTCTGCATGGGGGAGGGGGTTCATCTTTCCAGAACACACAAAATTGGAGCAGAGCTTAGAGCAGCTTCATCCTAAGGCAAGCTACAAAGCCCGGGGTGGTAGTATATGCCTGTAATCATGACACTTGAGAAGCTGAGGCAGGAGGATGTCCATGAGTCCTGGAGTCCTAGGACAGCCTGGTCTTAAAAAAAAGGAAAAAGAACAAACCAGTGGCAGGCACATTTTGCCATTTGCCAGATCAGGGAAATTCCAGCTTGATGTGCCTATACCAGGATCAGATGTTGAGATCTGTCAATCTAGTCTGTCCAATTTAGTGACCTTTGAAAGCAGATTCTTGGTTTTGCACACCACCTGCTCCCCCCCTTCCTCACACCATAGTCACTCTCCTTAGGTGCGTTTTATGACATCTATACTATGAACACATACTTTTCATTCATGTAAAATCTGCTACCTTCATATAGAAAAATTCTTTATTTTCTACTGAGCATTATTTCTAATGTCCATATGTGTTCTCTGGGTACATCTCATCAAAGTGCCAGTATCTTCATAGTGCCTGAGGGTTCTGTACTGAGGCATGTCAAACAAAGGGCTGCAGAACACGCATGAATGTGGTATCAGAACAAATTCTGGGACACATACTCTTTATTACTCCTATCATTAGGAACAATGCTTGAAGGTCGCAAGTTCAAATCTTGGCTCTCCCCCTTGCTGTGTGATCTTGGGGCTCTGAGCCTCTCTTTTTAACTGGGGTCAACACCATCTACAATTAAGATTTTAAAAAGGGCTGGAGAGATGACTCAGTGGTTAAGAATATTTGCTGCTCTTGCAGAAGACCTGGGTTTGGTTCCTCGCACCCACATGATAGCTCACAATCCTCTGTAACTCCAGTTCCAGAAGATCCAACTCCCTCTTCTGGCCTTGATGCCAGGCGTACATGCACATGACACATACACACACACACACACACACACACACACACACACACACACACAGAGTGTGTGTGTGCATGGCCTACATAGCAAGTTCCAGGCCAGCTGGGGCTACAGAAAGACCCTATCTCAAAAAGACCAGAAAATAAAAACTTAATAAATATTTAAAAATTAAAAAAAAAAATAATGGAGCTGAGAATTCCCAGCCCTAGTAGGTGGTGAGAAGCTGTTAAGTTTCTTTCCTTCCAGGGCTGGCCCTGGCTGGAAGCAAGGGTAACCAGGGCCTACCCTGCCCAGAGGTGTTCTTCCCAAGTCTTTCACTGCAGGCTAGGGGCTGACTACAAGCATGGGTTTAATCTTTTTTTAATCCTGTATTTATTTTTTGACAATTCATGTGTGTATACAATATACCTTGATCATATCCATCCCCAACAGCCCCCCACACTTCCCTGGGATATTACCCAGCTTGCCCCCTTCCTGTCCTTTTCTTGTTACCCACTGAATTCAATTAGTGCTGCTTGATGCACTATTAACTGATCTTCTGCACGTAACTGTAAACATGCAGTGGCCCTGGCATGTCCAGAAGGCAGCTTGACCCAGCATTCCTTCCCACCCTCCAGCTGTTTCCACCCCCCTCTTCCTGAGCTTTGGGGGTGGGGATAGAGGTACAGTTTTAATGTCAGTTTTTCCTTCTGCCTTCAGGACAAAGTGGCCATGGAGAGCATACCTCTGCTGGGCTTCACCATCGCCCCAGAAAGGGAAGAGGGCAGCAGTGAAGTGGGCCCTGTTTTCCACCTTTACCACAAGAAAACCCTGTTCTATAGCTTCAAAGCAGAGGACAGCAATTGTGCTCAGAGGTATCAGGAACAGCTAGTCTATCTCCTTGTCTGTCTCGCAGAGAACTGTGTCACCAGGGCTTTGCTTGCTGCTGTTCTGGTCCCTCAGTCCTAGCGCAGCTGCCTGCCTGTTCCAGGTGGTGAGATTGCCTTGACTCTTACAGTTCCTTTATGGGGTGGGGATTGGTTCGGTAAATTTTCACTGTTTCAGGCTGTGTGCTAAGTACAGGAATCATGTCTGGGAAACAGGTACGAATATGTCACAGTCCTTGGCTGTGGGCTAGTGGGAATCTCATCCAGTCACTTGGCTGCCCAGTGCTGTCTCTTCTGTTTCACAGGTGGATGGAGGCCATGGAAGGTGCCAGTGTGTTATAGCAGTCACCAAGCATGTGGACTCACAGCAGACTCCTACTTTGACTTGTGAAACTTTCCTGAAGCCACTCTGTTTCGGCTCCTCTGGATACATGTGTGGGTTCCATGTGGGGCTTAACCTTCCCCTCACAGATGGAGCCCTATGGGGTATTTATGGACCTTCCCCTTTCCGCATCTGTGTTTCCCAGCCTCCGTTACAAACTCTGTATCCAGCAGTGAGTTAAAATTTAGTAACTTGAAGACGTGGAAACCAAGAGAAAAGTACATTTAGCAACCCAGGCTTTTTAGTAGAAATGAGCTTTTCCTGGTTCTACTCCTGGTAAATATGACTGCCCTCCTTTATGTCCACGTGTATCTCAGCTGTTGTGGGAATCGACCAGGAAGAGCTGCTCACCAGAAGCACTTTATCCTCCTGTTGAGCTGTAGCCTTCAGTGCCGTGTCTTCCAAGGGATGGATAGAAGCCAATGGGGTCCAGGGACTCCCTTGCCAGTGGAAGGCTGACTCCTGGAGCCCTGCTGTGACTTGCCAGGTCCAAGCTCAAGTTCTACAGGCTAAGGAGGGAGGAGAGGTCTTCCCCTCTGCAGATCCTGCCACAGCTGAGGAAGAGAGCTCCCTCCCTCTCAGAAGCTTCAGTACCATACTGGGACTGCCCTTGCTGCTCCTGCCAGGGATCCCAGCAGCAGATCCACCCTTTTGTCAGTACAGACTCTTCAAAGACTTAGTGTCTGCTTTAAGTTTCTGTGTGCCTTCCCGTGTCTGCCTGTGCACTCTGACAACAGCATTTATGGGAGCTTGTCCCCACTGTAACACACAGGAATCCATGGGCTGTTATCACCCAAGCCCATTTACTTTTTGAAAGAGGTAAAGACAGAGAGAAGGGCGAGTCATTAGAAGGTGGTCTGAGAGATGCTTTGTACACCTGGGCAAAGCCAATTCCTGCTGGATGTGGCTCTTTATGCTAGATGGTTTTTACACAAAGCCGGGAGGGGCTGGATTCCTCCTGATGCTCACTGCAACTGAAAAAAATAATTGTTACCATTTTCTGATATTCTCTTTCCAAATCTGTTGCCTTGCCCCCTACAAAAAGGCATTCTGTAAAAAGCACCATCTCAAGGACTTATTTACATTAAATATTTTCAGGGATTTTTTTTCTAGTTTGCATTTCTTTTAAAATGTTTTACATTCAATGTGTAATTAATAGTTCAAGGTAGCTGAACAGGCAACTGTTTCTGTTAACTTCTGAGGGCATCACTGCCCCAGGATTGCCCCTGTGGTCACGTGTATGTGTTTGGGCCTCCCAGACCCAACCCAGCTTTACAAAGCAGAGCAGGACCCAGGACTCAGTATGGTCAGTCCCTTTGTTGTAGTTTCATTTTCTGTCATTTCAGTTACCTGCAATTGACTGTGGTCTGAAAATATTAAAAAGAAACTCCAGAAATAAACAGTGCATATGTTTCAAATCATTTTTACTATAATGTAGGTGTTCCATTTAACTATTAACCTCTCACTGGGCTTAATTGATCCTTTAAACCCTTTAAACATTATTTAAATCCTTTAAACCTTACCATGGATACATGTGTGGGCATGGGAAGAGCACAGGATGTATAGTCCCAGTGCTGGCTTGGTCTTGAATGACCCCTGGACTTGGACCACTGTCCAGTGTCACCTTCCAGCTCTGGGTTCAATAATGCATGTAATGGTCAGCTGAGGACCTCTCTCTGGTTTTTGTTTTTATGTTGTGCTAGAGATAGAAACTAGGGCCTCACGTATGCTATGCTAGGCCAGGACTCTGCCACTGATCTACACCTCTGGCCTCTTTCACCCTTTAACATCTGCTATCTGAAGCCTGGCAACGAAGAAATAGAGCTTTTATTTTTGTGGGAGTATTTACCCTGATAAAAATGCTAGCTCCTATGTGACTGGGCCAGGCCCTGCCTGTTTTAACTTTTGGCCACATGTTCTACCCATGGGTCTCTGCTACTGGTTTCAGGCTAACTTCTGCCTGACCAAACTCTACAGCCCTCCTGCCCTTCTCTTTATTCAACCCATTTTATACATCCATGTTACTGGGGCTTATCCAGAACAGGATGAAGCCACTTCTCAGGTCTGAGAGTAGGCCTGTCCACTGGCCCCAGATGCTGCAGAAAAGATGGACCAGCTGTGACGCCAGTGTTGCCTGAAGTTCCCTACTTCCAGCACAGCACAGAGTAGCCCTTTACTGTACACCCCAGCAAAGGCTCTGCTGATCAAGAGGAAGCCATGGTATGCCAAGCTGTGGCCCCAGAAGTGGAAAACCCAGTAATTGGGCAAGTCACTCACTTGAGTAGCTGGGCACTCGGGCATCCTCTTCTGCCACAGGAAGATCACTGCAGCTTCTCACAGGTTGGGGGAAGACAGGTGCACATCGAGCATTCATGCAAGCCCACTCACAGGCCCCACAGTGAGTAGAGTCGCAGCGAGAACTTCCTTTCTCCAGTCACAAGGAGAGTGGGTGGAAATGAGGCTGGCATACTTGTCCATTGGATCCTTCTCCCTCCATCTTCTTCAGCGCATCAGAGAATCTTGGCAGAGGCAGTCTTGCTTTGGGGGAGAGTGGCTTCCCAGGCTCACATGCTGCAGTTTTCTCCAGGCTCAGTTGGTCTGAAGCAGAAAGGATTCTGTGCCTGTAATTAAAGCACACCAGAAAGAGCAGGGCTGGCCACTAGAGTCTGATCCTGACAAGAATTCTCAGACATGTCAGAAAAAAGCTCTTGAGTTTCTGGTGATGATAAGGCCAGAGATTAACTCTGCCTGGCCTGCAGCCCAATCCAGGAGTGGTGCAGGAGGAGAGGGCCGCCTGGTCCATCTCTTGATAGATAAAAAGTAGCCATATGGCAAATAGGGTTCATCAGGAGAAAGCAGTTTATTAGCAAAGGAACACATGGGACAGATTCCCTTCCAGACAGGGAAAATGTCTGCCCTGGGTCATGAGCTGGGGTCTTTTAAGGGGGAGGCTTCTGCTTCCTGCAGAAGGCAGGAAGATGTATTTTTTTTAAAGGTTGGGGGGCGGGGCTGTTAAAACCTGTTCTCTTTAGAGATCAAAGGGGAAGCCTGCTGTATTGGCCAAACAGTGGAGAAAAGTCTGCTTCTCTTGATTTGAAAGACCAAGGTGTTTATCAGCTCAGTTCCCTTTTCTCAGGAGCTTGAGAAGTCCCTGAGACGTTGGTGAGGGGGCGGGGCTATCTGAACCTTAACATCTCTGAGCATGGCCACTTAGGCAGGTGTGGGGACGGCAGCCAACATGTGACTGGTCACTCTTTCTTTCATCCAGTCTCTCATTGGATGGCCCATGTCAAGGTCACTGAACTTGTAGAGATGGAAACTACAGAGGCTGAGAGTACAAGGGGCCGGGCCTGGAAATGGAGTTGCTTTCAGACACAGAACAGATCCAGCCATGTGCTGGAGCACAGTTAACTGATTTGACCTGCTCTCAGCACTCAGTCAGGAGGGGACAGCTATGCTCACAGCAAGGTAGCTGTTCTTAGCATGAGTCTCAAATTGGCTCAACAGCAGCTGGAAAGGGCTGGAAACAAGTTCTTTGGGTTTTTTGGATTTGCTGTCCACAGCATCAGAGGTGGTTCCCAAGAGGCTGACTGCCAAGACTCCTGCTCATAGCCACCATGGAAGGGCAGCATGGTCCCCCAGAGCCAGCTTGTGCTTAGCAGCACCCAGCAGGCCCCCTGTACCCCCATTACTTAAGTGGGACCACCAAGAGTGGCATAGATGTGATGACTGGGATAGATGTCCCCCAAAGCATCACATAAGGCTCGGTCTCCAGGGTGCTGCAATTGGGAGGTGTGATGAACCTTTAAGAGGTAGGAAGGTCTTGAAAGGGATCATGGGCCCAGGGCCCTGCCTTGCTCTCTTGCTTCCTGGCTTAGGAGTGAGCAGTTTGCTCTACCATGAGCTCGTGCCTTTGTTGTCCAAGTGTCCCTCCCTTTAGGGAGGGCCCAAAGCAACAACTTCCCCTAATCCTGAACTAGAATCCCTGGAATTGTGAGTTAAACATTTTCTCTTTAAAAACAAAACAAAAAAACTTTATTGAGTTCCAGGCCAGCTAGGGCTACAGGGAGACCCTGTCTCAAAAAGACAAAAAAAAAAAAAAAAAAAAAAAAAAAAAATTGTGTATGAATGCCCATGTTGGGCCAATGCCCAAGGAGGTCAGAGGTGGCATCAGATCACCTGGAACTGGAGTTACAGTTGTTAGTCATCATGTGGGTGCTAGGAATTGAACCTGGGTCCTCTGTAAGCAGTCAGTGCTCTTAAGTGCTGAGCTCTCTCTCCAGCTCCTAAACCTTTTCTAAGTTAACAATCCCAGGTCTTTTGTTATACTGATGGAAGATGATTAATGCCAGTCAGTGAAAGATTGGTGGTTCCTGGGGAACAACCATTAGCAGTCACTCTCTGGACCAAATTTTCTGGAAGAACTCCACAGTTTGGTTAGTAGAATGTAAGAGCCATACCTTGCCATGGATTTGAGGATGATCTGTGACAGAATACTTAGAGGTCAATTATTTGGATCCTCTATTAGACATGTTTGCTGAATATTAATAGTCCAAGTACATTATAGAGGTTGATTTGATAGTATTGATTTTTCAAGTTTCTAATCAGATACTACTATCAATCATCAGCAAACAGCACTGACCTCTCCAGCGCTGAGGCTCTGTGCGAGTATCAGCACCAGGGAGTGCCAAGCACCTTGACCTTGCTATGTCATTTAACGCTCCCCAGAGGCCTGTGCTGCAGAGCTATTACTACCTCCACTTTGCAGGTGAGGTGGCTGGGGACTGGAGATTGCTTGCTGGGGTCACAGCTATGGTTGGCAAGGCCCTAGAGCAGAGCCTAGTGGTGGCTACTTTCAAAGTGTTTCCCTGGATTGGCAAGAACAAAGGCTCCAAACCTCATGACCTCAGTTCAGTCCTCAGGACCCACACAGTGGAAGGAGAGAACTGACTCCCACAAGTTGTCCTCTAACCATTACCCCAGTACTGTGGCACATGCTCCCCCCTCCAATAAAATGTAATTTTAGAGCTAAAAATGGTGGGGAAATGACTGGGTATACAAATCAGTGATGCAATGCTTACTCAGTTCCTAACACACAAACACGTAAATCTTATGTGTATGCATGCCTATACATAAAATTCCTAGTCCAGTCCTGAAGGATGGTAGTCACATTGCCATGCTCTGTCCTCTTCAGATAATGTATTTGCATGTATCATGTGACCTATTAGTTTCACATCCTATCCCAGGAGTTTAAAAACAGGGCTCCAACTTGCAGCATGCTTGTTGACAGTGTTTTCTTCCTATGGGTTTTACTCTGTACCAGCCTCTCCTTTCTGTGAAGGGCTGCTCCTTCCCACCCCAGTGGCTGTGTCCATCAACCCCAACACTGCCCCTGAGATGGTCAGAAAAGGAGGTTGCTGGCATTTTGCTGGACACTACACCTTTTATAGTCAGACGCAAGGAATGGTCTGGACAAGGAAAAGCTCAAAGAACTTCCCACAATCAGCAGGTATTGTGGTAGCAGCCAGGGGGCCACAGGGAGTTTCCAAAGCCTTCTGGAAGGAGATGCTGGTTGGTAGGTGTCTTAGTTTGTTCTTCATTGCTGTGACAAAACACTCTGACCAGTACCAACTTGGGGAGGAAAGGGTTTATTAGTCTTACATCTCCCAGGTCGCACGCAGTTCTTCAGGGAGCCCAAGGTAGGAACTCAGGGCAGGAACTGGAGCACAGGCCATGGAGGAATGCTGCTTACAGGCTTGCTCCCTTGGCCCCTGCTCAGCCTGCTTTCTTATGCAACACAGGCCCACCTGCCCAGGGGTGGCACCACCCACAGTGGGCTGGGCCCTCCCACATCACTCATCAAGAAGATGCCCTTCAGACATGGCCACAGGCCAGTCCAATAGAGGAAATTCCCCAATTGAGGCTCCCTCAACCCAGGTGTGTCAAGTTGACACTAAAGCTATCCAGCACAGTAGGTTACCACCTTGGCACTCCTGTGTCAACTGCAGTTAGATTAGACTGATCCGTGTCAGGTCTTTACTGCCATGGACAGCCCCTTCTGTATGCAGGCGTGATGAATTCTGAAGTACCTGACACCATTGCCAGCTCTCTTGCCCCACAGCATTGTTTTCTGACCCTTCAGGTCTCACCTTTCTCCCAAGGGTGTGAATATACACTGCTGGCAGAGGTGCTGCCCACCTGCCTCACTGACAGCACCAGGAAGACTGAGCTACGATCTCACTCACTGCTCACAGGAAGCTTAATGCAGTCTCTTCTCTTCCCTCAACCCATCATCCTGCCTCTGGGCAGATCCTCCTGAGGCACTCTTGATGCCAGGTGTATGGGTTGCACCCCATATCTACAGCAAGTTGGCCAGATGCTTACCCACAGCCAGTGGGTGGCATCCTCAATGGTAATTTTTAAAAAAAAAAAATGCAATGAGCTATTGCCTGCATGTGTTTAAGTGCACCAGTGTCAGGAAATGCCTGCGGAGGTCAGAACAAGGAGTCAGAGCCCCGGGAACTGGATTTGGAGTTACAGGTGGTTAGCTGCCATGTGGGTGCTGGGAATCGAACCTGCTGAGCCATCTTTCCAGTCCCAAAGGTCATTAATTTTCATTTATTCTTCACCAATTGAAACTCTGCCATACCACTGGCTGATAAATGCTTTAACACAGGGCAACATTACCTACATCACAATGGAAACATCCATGGACAAATCTAAATCAACGTTGAATCCTGGGGCCTGCAGAATCACACTGATAAGCAAATTCAGTATTAGTCAACTGGAAAGCAGGTTTCCTGTAATGGAACTTAGTTACTTCTTGGGGCCAGAACTTCAGCCACCTGCTGCTGGAGGAGTGAGTGATGAGCACTGTGGCAGCCAAGCTAAGTGGAGTCCAAGGGTCTGGAACACCTTCATGCTTAGGAACTCCATCTCCAGTGAGTGTGAGCTGCCAAACACCAAGCTGCAGGACAGAAGGGGCTCTGGTAATAGTGCACTGTGCCTGAGGCCACTAGGAAGGTCTTGAGGTAACTTCTGAGCTGGAGATGGACCTAGGAGAGGGTTGTTTAACAGGGAAAGTGGCTGGAGAGGTTTATGTGTGCAGACAGACATGGAGTGCCATGACCAATAGAACAGGCTCTAGACTGAGGTAGTTCAGAATTGCCAGAGTGCAGGAGGTCATAAAAGTGACACAGGCTGTCAGGCTGAGTCATTTGGGAACACAGAACTCATCCTACAGTCACTACTAGACTATGGAGGCCTTGAGATGCTTTGGAAAAACAGATCTAGGTTTTGGAAAATCCACTCTGTCCTCTATTTAAAGATCAACTCAATATGTAGGTTCGTTCTGTTGCAGCTGCCCATCACTTGTTTTCAGATTTTACTTTGAGCCGGGCGTGGTGACCCACACCTTTAAACCCAATACAGAGGCAGGTGGATATTTATGAGTTCCAAGCCAGATTGGGCTATATAGTAAGGCCCTGTCTTGAGCAACCCCCCCCCCCCAATAATTTTATGTGTATGAATGTTTCTCCTACATGTATGAAAAGTTCACCAAGTGTGTGCCTGGTTCCTGCAGAGGCCAGGAGAGGGAGCTGGATCCCCTGAAACTGGAGTTAAGGATGGGTATTAGCTACCACGTATGTGCTAGGAGTCAAACTCAGGTTTTTTGGATAGGCAGCCAGTGCTCTTAACCACTGCGCCAAATCTCCAGCCCTTGTCAAGTGTGTTTTTCATTCATGGCTCTGTGCCCTTCCTCAGTGTGGTAGGCCCCTATTCCCTCCCCTAAACCTGCAAAGACTTTGGTGATGGCCTGTAAAAGGAGCAAATGGAGCAAGTAACTGTGATGAAAATGGCACTTTGTTTCTGTGACACTCAGCTCTTGAATGCACCTACCAAGCTGTGAAAAAGCTAGAGCACGTGCAAAGACCATATGGACTTCACACCAACAGCATCAGCCAGACACAGATGACTCCAGCCAGCCATCACTTATCTGACCCTAGAAGTCTAGGTTATAATTTGCTAAAAAGTGACTGTTGGTTTGGGTGTGATTACACAGCAATAGCCAGAAAAATGTGTGTTTCTGAGCTCCCTCCCCAAACTCACTGAAGACAACAGGTGAATAAAGACATACTCTGAAGAGTAGCAGGACAGGACTGCAGGGAATGTCGATAACTCGCTTTTGGAAGAGGGCTGGACACAGTGGCAGCTGATTTGGCAAGGGAGATGTGTCTGCAGAGGGGGACGCCTGGGGGACCACCAAGGAGGCACAAGCCTACTGGAAGGCTGGGATGCGGCCAGAGATAGAAGGATTAGTCTGGGCTCTGTAAGGAGTTGCAGATCCCCAACTCATACTACACAGACAGGCAATTATATTTCCACTTAGTAGGAAGTTTATTCTCTGGAAAACAACCCAGAACCTGGAGACAGGTGTGGCTGAGCGCTCAGCCACAAGATGCTGCAGAAACCAGACTGCCAGAGAGCCAGTGGGCTCTCCTCCTAGCCTGCTGAGTTCCTAGTTACACATTCAAAAACACAAAACCACTTCACAACAACTCATACTCTAAAACTGGGGACCAGGGGCAGGTACACCTTTCTGAGAACATAACCTAATTTTTCATCAGTTTCCCAAGATTCATGTCTTCTCCAAAAGACCAAAAAGATATACTGTTCTAAGATATCTGAGCAAAACTCAGAAACCCCAACTCAGCAAGGCCTGTTAGACCAAAGAGCCACCTGCTAATAAATATTCCTTCTGTGTCCTTGAGTTCTGAACCACCATCCTACCCTAGGGACATCAATTCTCTTAAGAAGGGGATCTCGAGCCAGGCTTGGTGCCTTTAACCCCAGTATGCAGGCAGATTTCTGTGAGTTTGAGGACAGCCTGGTCGAAATACTGAGTTCCAGGCCAGCTGGGGAGATTCTGCCTCAAAAAACAAAAGGGGAGGCTGTTCAGCAGAAGCCGTGACCTCCCCAAGTAGCCTTGAGGAACTGTGACAGGCTGACTTTGACAGAAACATGGAGGTGGGAAAAGAGGGTTCCCTCCTCTCAGAGTCCTCAAGGACAGAATGATTAATAAACGTTCTACTACCTGTAGAGCATGTGACTGTCTCCAGCTTGGCCTCTCCAGCTGTAAAAACAGGATAATAACATGCACTGCATAAGAGCAGAAGAGCATGTCAGGAATGTGCAAATCTGATACTCAGATTGTCTGTTTTGATTCACTTTTTTTTCTTGAGACAGCATCTCATTATATATCCCTGGCTGGTTTGCAACTTACTATGTAGACCAAATTAGCCCGGAACTCACAGAAATCTGCCTGCCTGAGTGCTGAGATTAAAGGTACGCACTACCGCACCTAACCCAATTCCAATTCTTAACAAGTAGGCTAAGGGACTACTGGACCTTTTAAGTTTAATTTTACAAAATTTAAGAATTATTCAAGTAATACTAATAATTCTGAAAAATGGTTACTACACAGTAAAATAAAGCATAAGCTATTACAGAAAAATATTTATATGCACTAAAGGTAATTATAAAGTCCTCTATGAAGTTATCAACTTTACATTGAGAGTGAACGAGCATTCTTTTTCTACCTGCAGTGCTAGGGACAGAACCCAGGACCTATTTGCTAGGTAAGTATCCTACCACTGAGCTACACCCAACCTGAAACCATTATTTATACTATCACAAAAGCAGAACACTTTAAAAGTATAATGTCTGCTCAGTAGCAGGAACTTAACTCAGTATAGTCACAATTATAGACTTTCAGTCAGGATTAACATCCAGAACCGACTCCTTTAATACCAGCACTTGGGAGGCAGAGGCAGGTGAACCTCTGCAAGTTCCAGGCTAGCTGATGCTACAGGGAGGCCCTGTCTCAAAGACAAAACAACAACAAAAAAAAAAACCCCAACCAACCAACCAACCAACCAACCAGAAAACCCCCAAGAAAAAACAAAAGAATACAAAGCAATTTATTCCATGCTAGAATCTAAAGATGGAACTGCATGGTGCAGTTCCTGCTTTCAAGGCTACAGAAAACAACCACTGACTGATCACAGTACATTCTGGTACCATGAAAGAGACCTGCTCAGGGGAACACCAAAGCAGAAGACTTCCACTTACCCAGAGTACAGATTAAGCTCACTTTGTAGGTCAGTAAAGTCACCTAATCTTGTTTTCACTGAGATTAACTTAACATGGGACAATATGAGTATCACTGGTGTCACATACTGTTGCATGTAAAAACCTACCCACCCTTACACCATTAGGGCTGAGAAGGACATAGCACATCTCCATCCAGGGCTCAGGGTGAGCAGGTGCTCAGGTAACGCACACACAAAGGTGAGCAGTCTCACTTATCACTCCCTGTGAGCAATTTCTTCATTTATTTTGTGTAGGAATGTTTTGTCTACATGTGTTAAGTGCACCATATATGTACAGCGCCCATGGAGGCTTTGGATCCCCAGCAATTGGAGTTATCAACCACTGTGAGCCACCATGTGAGTGCTGGAACTGAACCTGGGTCACCTGCAAGAGAGCTAGTGCTCTTAACCACTGATCTATCTCTCCAGTCCTGGAATTTTTAAATCTAAAACATTTTAAAAGGTCAAGCAATTTTATTGAGATACAGCTCAATTGGTAGACTGCTTTCCTAGTATACACCAAGGCCTAGGTTCGAACCCAAGCACAACATAAACTAGGCATGGTGGAGATGGAAGATGAGAAGATAAAAGTTATCCTCAGCTACATAGTTTGAAGCCATCCTGTGCCACATTTTAAAAAACTGTTCTGGGGGCTGGAGAGATGGCTCAGTGGTTAAGAGCACTTACTGCTCTTCCAGAGGATCCAGGTTTGGTTCCCAGCATCCCACTGTGGCTTGTAACTAAATGTAACTCCAGTAACACACCTGGTACATACATGCAGGCAAAACTCATACACATGAAGTAAATTTTTAAAAGTCTTGTTTTATTTTGCTTTGTCTTGTTAATACATGTTGGCAGTGACATCAGTACCCCAAGCCTGGAACCCATCAGTGTGACCTGTGATGCTCCACAAAAGGGCTACAGCTGGCCCACCCCACACTGACATTCATCACTTCAGAACCCAAAGCCTGGCTCCTGAGTGCATCCCCAGTGAAGAGCCTGTTTTAAAAAGCCGGGTATGTTAAAAGCATGGCAAATGTAAATGTAAGCGCCTCAAGAGAAACTCACACAAGAGCATACAACTAATGTAACACAACACATCTTATAATGCACCATTTTCTAAGTGACCATAAAATGCACTGTTACAAAGCACCACTGACGCCGTGGCGCACGCCTGTAGTCCCAACACTTGGGAAGCAGAGGCAGGTGGATCTCTGTGAGTTCAAGGCCAGCCTGGTCTACATAATGAGTTCCAGGACAGCTGGGGCTTCAGGGAGACCCTGTCTCAAAAAGACCAAAAAAAAAAAAAAAAAAAAAAAAAAAAAAAAAAACCACCAAAAAAAGAAAAAAAGCACCACTGACCTCAGCTTGCAAAGGCCTGCTACCTGCTAACACTGTATCTGTGTTCCTTTGCTGTTTTCCAGAGGAAAGCTGCTACAACTTTAAACAACTTACCTTAAAAGTTACTGAGCACTACTGCAAATGTGGCAAACAGAAGCCTCAGGCTGACTTATTCCAGCCCTGCTCTTGCTTACTGCTCCTACAGCACCAGACTTGGGCCCAGTTCCTTGTCTAAATGAAAGTTTAACAATGTTACCTTCATAGACCCAGAGT